TAATCTGTGTGTTGGATATGTTACATTCAGAGATCATATTTCCTTTCTGCAGCTCTGGATTATCAATACATTACAGTATTACATTGCCTTTTTATACCATGGTATGAGAATGTAACTGATTGGTTTTATATCTGACATTTAACACATCGAATAAGTTTGCTATTAAAATGTCATTCATAAAAGAGATGAAAAGTCAAATTTAAATTCCATCTGTAAAAACCACACTGCATGGAGTGGAATCGAAAAAAGGATTTTTTAATCTCCAGACTGAGATTTCTTATATCTAAGTCACTCTAAGTCAAATGTAAAATCAAAAATGCTTCTGGTTAGGTGATAAACAAGCATCTTCTGAAGGATATTTAAGAATCTCTTTTGTGAAAAGATTGAAAACACAGATAGATTTAATATTTTTGCTTAAAATCGTTTATTTGTCATAGTGTCTAGTTCAAAAGATGGAGCGTAAACAGATGTTGAGCTGCTTGGCTACATTTTGCTTAGATCACTTAGTAGCTGCTCATTGTCCTCTCCAGCCAATCGATGAAGATGCAGACCTGAAAATGAGGAAGAATCAGAGTTAGTCCAGTTCATCAGTGTTTCACTGTGGATTAAATAGTTTTTGTCTATTGAAAGTTACCTTGGCGTAGACACCAGGATGATCCCTCTCAGCACATCCGTAGCCCCAGGACACAACACCCTGCAGCTGACCGTTACACACGACGGGGCCACCGGAGTCACCCTGGGACAGAGAAAATGAAAACAGTTTTAAGATGATTTCAATGAATTATGCAACTGACATGATGTAGGAAAAACATGTCTGGAGATTTGATTCTTGTTTCATACCTGGCAAGAGTCCTTTCCTCCCTCCAGGTATCCAGCGCAGAACATGGCATTGGTGATCATGCCAGGGTAGGAGTTCTCACAGTCCCTCTCAGACAGGATGGGGAGATCCAGGCACTGCAGCCTGCTACTGTCAGCTGCATGATGGGAAACAAAGTACAAGGTAAGTAATAAAAGTTATAAATCTGGACCTGTGATCAGTTCAAATGCAGATGTTACTCACTGGAGCTCATGGTGTCGCCCCATCCAGAGACTGTGCACATGGTGCCAGCGGGGGCACAGCTGGTGGGCAGAGCCACAGGCTGCACGTACTGGTTGAGGGTGGCGGGCTCGCTCAGCTTGATCAGCATGATGTCGTTGTTGATGTTGTAGGAGCTGTAGTTGGGGTGGCGGATCACACGAGATGAACTGATGAACTGCTCGGTTTCCTCATAGACTCTGAGGTTGTGCTCGCCTATACGCACCTCCACACGGCTGCACAGGAGAGAGAGGATGGTTTTACATGTGAATTTCATGAGGCTGTGTGAACACAATGATTCTTGCATGAAAAACTTTGTCTTCATAACATCAAGGAGTGACGTACGACTTGTAGCAGTGAGCAGCAGACACAACCCAGTTCTCGTTGACCAGGGAGCCTCCACAGAAGTGGTAGCCAGAGTTCAGAGACACCTGATGGGGCTGGGAGTAGGGTTTGCACTCATACCCTCCGACGATCTTGTCGTCCTCCGTGGCAACTGAAAACACAAACACATTGATTCTTGCATGAAAAACTTTGTCTTCATAACATCAAGGAGTGACGTACGACTTGTAGCAGTGAGCAGCAGACACAACCCAGTTCTCGTTGACCAGGGAGCCTCCACAGAAGTGGTAGCCAGAGTTCAGAGACACCTGATGGGGCTGGGAGTAGGGCGTGCACTCATACCCTCCGACGATCTTGTCGTCCTCCGTGGCAACTGAAAACACATGTTGGCAAACAGTTTTCCGTTAACTCCTATTCTTTTTATTGATTTCTAGTCAAACTAATTGTGTATCATGCATCTGAGCGCCTAAACATCTATGTTGCTGCCAGGAGATGTTAATGAAAAGCTCTCGTCGCAAAGAACAGTGCACTCATAGCAGAAAGGAAAGCTCAAGCAAAAGTTGACACTTACAAGCAGCTCCGATGAGCAGAATGAAGACCAGAGACCTCATGGTTGCTGTATTATCGTGTCGATGACAAAACTTCACCAAGATCCTGGGTTTATATCCACAGGCAGGTGAGCTGCCCTGCTCTCTGGCAATCCTCATTGGTCAGCGAGGAGCCAATTCCTGCAGCGGGATGTTTGGGGTTGAGTGAATGATTTCCAGAATTAAAAAAAACATTACTTTATTTAAAGAAAGATTTCTTTCTTGTCAGCAAAAAAAATCACATGGAAACGCTCCTTTCGTATGCGTCATCAGATGAATAGGTGATGTCTAGAGAGCGGTGAGCAGCAGACACAAGCCAGCTCTCATTGATCATGGGGCCTCTACAGAAGTTCAGAGACGCCTGATGGGGCAAAGAACGAGGCATGCTCATACCCTCCGATGATCTCCTCTGCAACTGAAAACAGAAAACAAAATAGTTTGCTGTAGTATTGTATGAACACAAATGTATATGAGAATAAAGTCTGATCTTCTTTACAAGTTCTGCTCCACACTCACAGGCAGCTTCAGTGAGCAGAAGAAGAGTGATCCAAAAAAATCACCCACCAAAATAAAAGCATAAAACTTCACAACGAGATGACTGACTCCAGATGTTGCGTTACAAGAGTCACAGGCTGATATTCCGCCATTAAACATCTGGATTATTCACTACAGACAGAGTCACTGAGCGAGTTAAATCACATACTGTAGATAAAAGATTGAATTTTGGAGTTCATGAGACTTTATCTGGAACAACTCTAACGTCATATGATGGGGGTGTAAAGGTTCTATCAGAATAACTCTGAACATTCACTCTGATGTAGTTCATTGTATTTTCTAACATGATGTGATGTTATATTTGACTCGTTTTATAGCTGATATTTTAACAGTCACATCCAGAAATTATGCAATTAAAAGACCAGTGCAAAAGGTCTTTCATATATAAAAGATTGATCTAAAAATGCTCCGGGTTTACTCGAACATGACCTACAGATGTTCTCTGTATTTTAGTACATTCAGATCAACCGATTTTTGCATGCCTTTATTTTTTTCATAAATTATTTGAACCTTTCCAAACCAATTTCACTGTAACACTAAATTACAATGGCTGACTCTAAATGCTCTCTTTAAAATTATATATTTAGTAGGACAGTAAGTTTGTATTGGTATTTGTTGTGGTTGCATCACTGTATTAATGTTTTGTGTTTTTTCTGTACTCATCGCTCTCACTTTGTGCGACTCTTGTCTTATATGGTATCTTATAAGTTGTTTTTGTCTTGGCTACTTATATTTCATGACAGAAAAGCATCAGGCCATATAGGACCTGCTAATTATCACAACTGAGAAGTCCTATCACAAGTTCAGGAATACTCATAGAATTGAAAAACTATTCACTGCTCATTCAGAGAGGTAAGAGTAAGAGAGAGAAGAATTGTTTCAACTTTTTAAAACACATTCAAAAGCTTGTTTCGTTAAGGTTTTGACACAATCTAATGTATAGAGTGTGTCAGAACAGACCATCCCACACTTTACATAATATTTGTTTTTCCAACACGCAGAATTATCAGTCCAGGACCCTGATTGGTGGAGAATAATGGTGGGAGGTGTGTCCAGCAGGTAAAGGGCAGGGCTACCTTTCTATTTAAACCAGGTTCCAGGTGAAGTTCTCTCATCAACAGGATCACACAGCAACCATGAGGTCTCTGGTCTTCGTTCTGCTCATCGGAGCTGCTTGTGAGTTGTGTCTTTCTGCTTTGTATTAGTTTAAAATAATTTCTAAAAAGAAACTTTCTCTGACCTTTTGGTCTCTTGGGTGTTTTCAGTTGCCACGGAGGACGACAAGATCGTCGGAGGGTATGAGTGCAAACCCTACTCCCAGCCCCATCAGGTGTCTCTGAACTCTGGCTACCACTTCTGTGGAGGCTCCCTGGTCAACGAGAACTGGGTTGTGTCTGCTGCTCA